CTTCAATCGCGCTGTCTAAATCGCTTGGTGTCGCACCACTTGAATTGATTGTGTATATGAAGCTGCTACACAGAACCTTTTCGCTTTTGGTGTGAACGTCCGATAAGAGGTAGAAGATTAAATCAATGTAAATAAAAGGTCGGAAGTGATGATTCTAACACACAAAACATAAAGATTGGAGTTTTCAAAAGTCCTTCTGCAAATACATGGCACCTAGTTGTAAGAAGAATTAAAAAAACAACGGTCTGTTTTTAGGTTATAGTCAAAGAGTTTCCTAAGGTGTTATGGAGACTGGATTAGCTTAACACAGGTAACCATGTTTTCATCAGTAACGGGCCTCTGCTAACTGCATTTTAGCACCTTCAACAATCCTGATCTATCACTTCACCAACATCATTCTTGGACAGAATTCATTGAACAACTGTATACATTTCCAACACCACTGAAACCCAGTAGGACAGGTTTTCGTCTTGAATCTGGACCAGCTGGACAGTACAACATCCTAAATACTGTGTTCTGCCTGCAGGGGGCTGTCTTTGACATTTCCTCATCATTGATAATGACAGACTTGGTGAACATCCAGTACTTTATTTTGTCTCCCTGGCTTTCCTTACAGCGCCCCCTGCTGAGTGTGCACCAGGTGGCCACTCCATCCTCCAGAACCCGTACCGCAGCACCAGCTTCAGCTCCAGCTGGCTGCAGCAGTCGTCCCTGCAGGACTTCATCTGCGACCACTCTCTCACACCAGGCTGGTACCAGTTTCAGATTTTTGACAAACCAGCCAGCATGCCCACTCAGTGTGTGGAGGTAGGTGACCGTTATTTCCTGCAAAAACGATTAAAAAAAAGCCCAAGAGTAAAGGGGATTTTTTTTCTTTCAACAAAACATGTCCAGTCTTGTTGCTTTTTGTGCTTAAATTTTAGCTCATATGAACCCAGGACATTTTGGTCTACTGCTCCCTCGTGTGGGCAGTCGGTGTCACTTTGGTAAACTCGAACCACAAAGTTTAAGCACCAGTCACAAAATAACTCATCTGAACTAAAACAATAAGACACTAGTTCATCAACAACTACAAAATGTAAAATTACTGACTTCAATGGGATTTAGCATATGAAAAGAGCCGTTTATTTAAAAAATAATTTATTTTGGGTTTTTTTTTAAGTTGTCTCACAGTTGGCAGATACAGTATGTAATATTAACAAGGGTTTGTTTTGTCTAATGCAGACCTGCCTACCTGTACGCATTTGTGTAACAGGTACGCAATTTGACATCAAAATACACAGTACGAGTCGCCTCTGAGTGACGCATAAAGCTGCTAGCACGTCAGTTCAGTGCGCCTGCAATACTCATGTCTGACAGCAAAATGCAGTAGTGTGGCGTTTAAGGAGTTGCAACCAATCATCGCAAAGTAGAGGAGAAATACGAGTCTGCCGAACCTGTAGCGTAGCCACTAGCCAGGTTTACGATAGTTTGGTCATCTGTACAATGTACGATCAAGGTTTACGATAATTTGGTCATCTGTACAATGTACGATCAATAATCCAAAAAACAGCTAAATATATGATTTTTTGACCATTCTTTGAATGAATAGTTGTAATCATCAGGTCGCAAATTTATGCAAGACAGATTTTTTTTGTGAACCATGAAGGTATCTTTTTTCATGTGGAAAGTTTCCAGCCAATTGCACTTGTCTAAATGTGAGTTACGAGTGACGTCCACGTTCTTGTCTCAGAACAACGGGCATGATTGGCTGAATGGTCTGCTGCGCCCGCCCAATTAGACGCTACAGCCAGGGAAGAGAGAAAATGGGAAAAGAAGGAAAAAAAAAAAAAATAAGCAAGGGAAAACCAGAGTCCAAGGGGAAAGATGAGGAGTGGCAAAGAAGACGGCGGGGGAAAGTAAACGTAAGCATTGCCCGGTAATACGATGTATGATAATTCTTCTTGAAATACGATAATTTACGTTTCCCACCTGGCAACACCGGCCAGCGACGCTCCCTTTTTTCCCGCCTCTGCCTTCCTCTCCGTTACCTACTGGCAGCCGTTGGTGATTGAAAAAGTACATTGCATGTGTGTATGTTGATAAAATGTAATGTGTAGCGTTAATATTTTTTTTCTTTCATGGTGAAAATAGACGTCAAATCAGCGCTGACGCCATATTTTCCGGACTATGTCGCACCGTAGTCGCATGTCAAAAATAATACGTCGTGAAGAGGGAAAACTTGTATAAGACCTGCGCATTTTGCACAGTGTAATTATGCCTTTGTGTTGTAAGCCAATTTAATTAACATATTCCTGAAAACAAAAAATATCCATTGCATTAATTAAAATAACTTTACAATTTTAATTAAATAATTCAGAGCTAACTTGCGGCTATCAGCTTGTATAAGCGCATGTATGTGCAAATTAGTTGCAAAGGTCTGCTACTTTTATTAACTTTTTACTGAAGTTGTAAAATGTTCCTTGGCTAAAGATGATAATTCATTTTTGATTGCAATGTCTGCTTAAAAACTAACATGACATTGATTATATTAGCAGTCTTGTGCAGTGTAGTTGTATTTTACACAAATAAAGGCTAGGCCTACTCTTGAACATGGTGGTGGAACCATATTTAAGATATATACCATATTTAAGCACATCATTGTTGGCCAGTTTGCACACATTTTGTTTGCTTTAGGTTGAAAAAGTATGAAAAATGGTTTGGTGAGCTGAAAGAATAAACATTTTGCCAAGGTGTCCTGGCTATAAAAGAAGAAAAATAATAATTTAATGGTCAGACCTGAAGATCCTTCAATCACACACTTGGTCGGACCTGAAGATCCTTCAATCACACACTTAACACATGACGAATGGCTTCTTTAATGGAAAGTCGTAAAAGTTCCATAACTCCAGGAATTCAGGAATTCTCATTGTATCACATCTCTCACATTTGTCTCCTCATCGTTGCTGCATGTGGAGGAATGTGAAGAGTGATGAATACATTTGTAATTTCAAACGTCTATGGACCCCCTGATGTACGCTAATTCACATGGCAAAACCTGGAATGGACATGTTGGAGTGTGATTGTCTGTGTGATAACATTGCAGATAATTTGGGTGCTTCTAGTAAGTTAGGATTGTTTGTGACTCTTTATTGATGTACCCATTTTAAACTTCTCTGAATTGGCCTTGAATTATCTTTTTATCTCATTTTAGCTATAGTTGAACCGCTATTGCTGACTTTTGATTTAAATATCCTGTTTTACCTTTAACCAGGTGAACCACTGTGGGACACAGGCACCAGTCTGGTTGTCTCTGCGTGAGGGTGAGTCTTTACCTGGTCCACTGGAGGTCCGTCAACTGACGGCCTGTGCAGCCTGGCAGTTCTTTCCCAGCAATATTAAAGACTGTTGTTTGTTCCGCATCCCGGTCACCGTCCGTAACTGTGGAGACTTTTATATCTACCTGCTGCAGCCCACACAAGGCTGCATGGGCTACTGTGCTGAAGGTACGATCCTCACGTAATAGGCTATTTTTGCATGTATTTTGTGTAATTATTCTGGTTAGAAAAGTATAGTTTTAGCTTTGTGACCTTTCTTACAGTGTGTAGTCAGGATGCAACACATGGCGAAAACCTATTAGTGTTGTTCTTTTGTCCTGTCTTAACTTCAGTTATCTTTAATGCTACAAGTTTTCTTTAAAAAAAACAACCTTAAAACATATCTCCATTAAACCCCTTCTTTCTTTGTCTTGGTCCCACAGCCATGTCTGATGCTGTTCCTACGACGTCGTTAACCTGTGACCACGATCAGGTGAACATGGATGGAGGATGTAAAAGTGAGGATCCTGCTGCTGGGGTTATGTTCTGTACTTGTCTCCTAATGTTAGGTCACACAGCAGAACAATCAGCAGGTCAGGAGAGTTGTCATGCGGTCAGGAATGCATCATTGGCCAGGGCCCCTCCTCGGGCCCCCGACTACTGCTTTTAATGAGCTGAGCATGTGTCCCCCACTGTCCGCTGGGTCTGGTCTCCATGGTGATGGATTCACACTACAACGGTTTTTGGGAAGTCAGGAGAAGTCAAATTAGACAAAGTTAACATATATCTTTGCACGTATTTGATTTATATTCGACCTTAAATAAGGTATTTGTTGATTTCTGGGGTGAGTTATGTTACGAAAGGTCAAGACATGCTTTATGTAAACTTTCAAGAGTAAGATTTTGGAGTCTAGCCTGAACATCACCAGGAAGGTTACCAGTATCCAGGAGAGCAAAATAAATGAGTCAGATTTAATTATTTAACCGTAAAGATAACCGGATAAGCAAAAATTGTGAGAAAAATAGCCAAAATTAGAGTGTAAAATTAGTAGTGCAACTACTGCAGACATTTAATCAGATGATAAAATTAATGCTGATTAATATTCAACAAAGCTGTAGGCTAGACAGAAAAATTCTACATATTTCATCAACTCTTTAAAAACTTTTAAATCTTAAAATGATTACACAGAAAATTTGTCAGCAGACTAATGTATATCCATTTATGTGTATGTGTACTATATGTATAGATTCTCAGTCAACCAGGTCATGCAGATAGGTAAAAGGCAACTGGACTTTTTTGGTTTCTAGAAGTTTTAAACTGAGGTCACCTCTAAGAGATGAAACGTCTTCTAGAAGCCAAGACAATCAAGTTTGTCTCCTTAAATGCTTCTGCATTTTATATATCTATATAGAATCGTTAAAATCTTTCAAAATTGTGTTAGGTTCTGCCTCATCGAATAGACTTCTGTTTCTTCTCTGTCAGCTGTGCAGCGCCCTCTTCCTCCTCCTCCTCCATCAGTACCTGTCATCATCCCTGAAGTAACACATAACAGTGTCTTCCTGAAGTGCAACTTCGAGAGCATCTCTAACGCTTCGGTGGGTCATGTGGTCACGTGGTCTCGACTCTCACTTGAAGGCAGAAAGGAGGAGTTGCGACAGGAAACCACCATCCTGACCTTCGCTTTCATCGAGCTGGACGGCTTCAACCTCCGCATGGGGGATAAGGTCTGACACTGATGCAGGGATTCAGGCAAAAGCAGTTGTTTTTTTGATGTAGGATGTACTGCGTCAACAGTTTAGTTTATTGTACAATCACAGATTATGATATGTAAAGCTAAAACGTGGCGATACATACCAAAGTAAATTTTCCAATCATGAAAGTTTATAATGAGAAATAAAATATATATCTCATTTTCTTTTTTAGATTTACTGCTCAAGTTCAAGTTTTTTCTTGGATTTCCCTGACATCCGTGGCGCATCAGTGGAAAGTCAGGAGTTTTTTGCTGGAGTTAGGGTAAATTTAAAAAAAAAAATTGTAAATTTTTGAATGCTGTGTTGTGTATTCATTTTAATTAAATCTCTCTCATGTGCAGTTAATTCCAGAAGAAAACGTAATATCTGAAAATGGGAGACTGTATGAGTTGGTTGTTGAGAGCACAATTCCTGTCACTTGCCCAGATGAGACCTTGTCCTCTGAGCATCCATGCACACTGTCCCTGCACTTCAGCACCAGCAGTCAAGGTCAGGATATGGACAAGTAGCAGAGATGTTTTTGTGTGGGTTCCCTATTAGATAGTGGTTGTTGTCAAGCTTGGCTGCTTTCATTGTGGAAGAACATCAAACTAAAATGCCTCAACTCAACTGTCTGTTTCAGATGAAGGCTTTCTGGGTCCAGATCTGTCTCTGTCCTCCTGTGTGGTGAATCTGACCCAGACGCCATGCCATTCAGGAGTCTGTAGTCGAGCTCAGATCTTCTTTGGCCCCAATGTGGACTTTGTTAAAGAAGGAAACAGGACAACAAAAGTTTCTGTCAAACCTATCATCTCCCAGAATTTCCTCTGGAACGCATACTCACCAGAACCTGTTGAGGTAGGCCAATTCAAAGATTCACATGGACATTTTCTCTTCTGTCACTTATGTTTATCTGTTTATTTACTTTTGATGCTGCAAGTATTTGAATGTGTGTATTTGCAGATCACAGTGAAGGAAGTGCCCTCAGCGTACTGTTACTCCTTCACTGACCCTCACATTGTCACATTTGACGGCAGGTACATCAAATTTTGTCACAAACTGTTGTTTGTGTTTAGCAACAAAATATTCAACCAGAATTTGCTAAATTAGCCAACTTAGCTGGGGGATAACTATATGTTGGTTTGATGAAAATGTTTTATTATATAGTATTGATTGAGTGATGGAATGTTTCTGTTTTCAAACAGACACTATGACAGCAGCCACATCGGGACCTTTGTTCTGTACAAAAGCACACTGTGGCCCTTTGAGGTCCACGTTCGTCAGTGGGAGTGTGGCAGCCTGGTCCACGCTGCCTCCTGTGTGTGTGGCTTCGTGGTCAGGGACGGTGGTGATGTCATCGCTTTCGACATGTGCAACGGAGAAATGGGTGAAACCAGGCCTCACCTGTCTATGAAAAACAGAGACCTGAGTAAGAGCAGCATCAGGATCTTGGAGTCCTACCAGGGACGTAAAGTCACAGTGAGTGACAATATAACCAATCAAACCACTGACACATTCTCTAAATACTGCAATAACTGGATGATGATTCTTGTCTCCGTATGGTTTGTCTCCAGATGACATTCTCCTCTGGAGCCTTTGTCCGTGCAGATGTTTCTGACTGGGGAATGAGTCTGACACTCAGAGCTTCCAGTTCTGACTGGGGTCACACTAAAGGTCTGTGTGGCACATATGATGGGCAGCTGGACAATGAGTTCCACACAGCAGGGGGCGCCAAACTAGAGCATCTAAACTCATTTATCTCCGAATGGAGGTAAGTGTGTTTTTAAATATCTAACTTGGCAACCCTGTTATCAAATCCCTGCCTTTTCAATTTACAAGTGAGTAGAATTAAATCCCTGCCTTTTCAATTTACAAGTGGTTACATGTGTTACTACATTTTGTTTTATTGTTATTATCTCTTTAAAATCCATTTTTTTTCTCTGTTTCTCTATCAGACTCGCCCCAGGAACAAGTCTGTTTGACACTGTACCCTTCCACCTCAGTGAACCAAGCCCTCCTAAGTACTGTACCTGTCAGACTGAGTTCCGCTTTGCAGGTTCCAGAGCACAAACTCCATGGACCCCCAGCCCTGACTCCAGTTGCTTTCGTCAACCCATTGTACATCATCTGACCATCATTCCAGCTTTGGATGTGACAGCTGAGTACATCAGGTCAGTGGAGCTGCACAGAGGTGATGAAGTGCAGTTCTTCCCACCAGGACGCTCCAATCCAAAGCCCCAGGTAGGTGATACCAACGAAGATAGATTCCAGTTATCAAGAGCAGGAGATCCTCTTTCTGGGTCTGTAGTCTCAACACAGCCCCAGCAGCACAGGAGCCGTCGTCAGGGCCACCAATACATTCCTAACTCCCAGCATCAAAGCCTCAGTCAGTCGGACCTAGAAGGATTCTCCTACTTTTTCCCAGAAGACCACGAACCAGCAGCACAACCTGACACTCCTCCGACGTGGCCCACACCCTCTGGTTTCACCGAGCATCAGGTACGGAGTCAGTGCCTGAAAGCTGTGGCGGAATCAAACATCGCAGTGAGTTGCAGGAGACTTTTGGACAAGTCAATAATGGGCAAGGTGGTGATGATGTGTGTGAGCGACCTCCAGCTAAAGGATGATGAGTCATGGTTGAACGCAACGTTGCCTCTGCTAGAAAATGAGTGTGAAAGGAGGCTGGTGGAGGACAAGACGAGGGAGGTTGAACATCACGACATCCTGGCTGCGCTCAAGTGTCCTGGTCTGTGCAATGGAAACGGTCAGTGCTCAGAGTGGGGCTGTGTCTGCTTTCCAGGATTTGGATCCTACGACTGCAGTGTGATGTCTGGTAAGCTAAGCTAATACAGATGATGTCAACACACCAACAGACAGGTAAAATAGACTCCCTTAATCTTTACTGTTATTGTTCTTGTTGATCAGACCAGATCCCAGAGATAATGGAGCTGGAGAAGCAGGGTCTCTGTGATGTCCGACAAGGTGACTGTTCCACTGTCCAGGTCTATGGTCAAGGTTTTAAGGACTCCTACGAGCTCAAGTGTGAGTTTGTTAAAGAAAAGGTACTTTTGTTTTCCTGCTTTTTTCTTTCTTTTTATCCTTTTTCTTCTTTTTTGTGTAGTAAGTCTCATATACCTTACATGATAAACCATACTTATTTGACTGCTACCCTGTGATTATTCATCAAAAATTTGACTTCCTCGATAGCCTTTCTCTAAATATTTTCTCCTTTTTGCCTGACCACCATCAACTCAAATCATCCATACAAACTATTCATTTTTGATGTTTTTTAAACCTAAATGAGTAATTGAAAATGAGTGAGTGTATCTTAGTGCCTCTAAATATGTCTCTAAAGGTAATTAAACCTGTTACAAATTGGGGCAAAAACACACCTTTTGCTAGCATTCAAGCTAAATTCACTTGGTTTCTATGTGAAATGATGTAATCAGACTATCTGCTGTTGAGCATTTCCTCTCTTTTGTTTCTCTATGTGAAGTTTGTAGATGGGGAATGGGTTTTGGATGAGCCCATATTTGTCCCAGCAACATTTCTGGATGTTACTGCTATGGAGTGTCAGCTCCCTGTGGTGGACAACTGGCTTTCTACAGACCTGGAAACGGAAACAACAACAAATCGACCACTCGCTCGCTGGCAGATCAAAGTTAGTTAGACTTTTTAATTCACTTTGTCCCAAACACTCCTGATATATCATGAAGTCTTGCACATATTTGAAAAACAAAATTTTTAACCCTAATTGTGTGCAAAAGCTATGCATAAACAAACATATTTGCTGTGAAACATTTTCTCCTCTGGTGTTTGTTGAAGAAAGTCATGGAACATCCATCACAGGACCACACAGCACCTTGCCTTCACACTTTACTTACTGTTTATAGGCTTTTCTGTAAATATTTGAGTGATTGAAATGGTTCCATTCAGTGTGACTGATGATAGTTTACACTTTCTAGTTTATTTTCCCAGTCATCTCAGTGTAATCATCTCTGATCTGGTCCAGGTCTCCAATGACGGCTACAGCTATAGCAACGGTAAGATTCTGAGTCTGTACGACGGAGCCTGTCAGATCTGCAGCCTCAACACTGAAGTACTCTGCACACTGAGGGTGAGGAAGGTTTTCCCACATCACTTTAACTAAAAATATAGGTGGTAAAGTGACCGATTCTTGTGATGTTTTTATGGCCTTGATTACGATGTTACCGCTGTGTTTGTGTAGGTGAATGATATAGGTACTTATTCAGAGAATGTAGAAATATTGAGGCCCCCACTGTAGTGTGTCCCACAATAGGGACCACATTTTTGCAGCCTGTTGATGTTTTCTGTTCTCAGAACAATTATGTATTCAGCAAGATGACAAATTTTTGCAGCCTGTTGATGTTTTATGTTCTCAGAACAATTATGTATTCAGCATATATTTGTGAACACCAGTGAACACCCAACTATAGGTTGTCTTACTTTAATAAACAGGAAACTAAAACCTAACACTTGTTAAACCCACTGAGGTCAATCCTGGGTAAGTTTCACGTCAGTATTGAAGAGAAATAAACACTAAACACTGTTTGCTGTGATGTAAATTGTTGAGTGCTTTGTTTCCCAGGAGAAAACGTGCTACATCAGTGCTGTGTGTTACAGCGAGGGGGAGTCCAATCCCAGCAACCCTTGCCTCACGTGTCGCCCAGAATCCTCCAAACACACATGGTCCACAGCAGAGAGTATGTGCAGCATAAGAAAAACAGTCATTCATTCTGATTTGATTTTGTAATCAACGGATCTTCACAAGATGTAAACTTTCAAATAAAAATAACACACTTACTATTTATGAGAAATCTATGTGCCCCTAATAAACTGTTTATATCAGTTAACACACTAAAATTAAATGCTATGATATGTAAGTTCTTTTTTGAAAAAAAGTTTAGTTCATTAAATGTTACTTTTAAAATGCTGGTTTGAATTGAATAAAATAACACAAGACTAACATTAATAGAAACAAACAGTATTTTATAGACTTATAGACATCTTATAGACATTTACTTTATTATTGTTTCTTTTTTATTTATGTTAGCCCCGCACATCATTTAAACATCCACTCACTTATTGTTTATATTTCAGGGAACTTTCCTCCAGTGCTGCAGCCGCTGCCGTTACCTCTTCGCTCCTTTCAGGGAGAGAACTTAATGTATCAGCTCCAGGCTCAGGACCCTGAGGGTTCGGTGCTCAGCTTCACCCTCATATCAGGGCCAGAAGGTTCTTCTCTGTCTCCCTCTGGCCTGCTAGTGTGGAAGGTCACAGCTAAAACCACTGACGTACATACCTTCTACTTCACTGTGAGGGACGAGTGTAACGCTGAGACCAGAGCATCTCTGCAGGTGAGGCTGTGTTTGGATAAACTCAAGTTATTATTAAACCCTAATGTTATAATGACATGTCCATCAATAACTTATTGCAAAAAATTGAAATAGCACTTAATTTAAAATGCAATAATCTGTTCTTTATTTTTTTGGTTAATTTCAAAAGGCTAAAACAGTGATAGAACAACTTACTAAATATTACAGTATTACAAAAATGTTTTTTATTGTGTTTATCTTTAGCACGAAATTGCATTTATCTGTCATTAATGTTAAAAGTCTTCTTCTATCCTTACACAAATTACAAAAAATTACTATGTTGAAATAGTTCTAAATTAACGTGTTTATTTTTGACCTGGTTGACAGATAATTGCATTTAATTCACAAAGCCATTATTGGTTTCTGGCCACCAGATGGTGATAAAGATACCTCTGTGAAGCCTATATAGATGTAACAATGTAACAAAAAATAAAAGTATTTTTTATAGACATACATGCCAGAAATGTATTGGTTATAAAGCTCAAATTACTCTATGGGAAAGATTCCAAATCAGTGTTTTCTTCCATTATTACATTAACATTTACATTTTCTTCAATGCAAATGTGTATTTTTACAGGCTTTGAGAAAGAAAATGTTTAAAGTGCTGACAAACCACTGCTGCATCCCTGTCTATGTTAAGGCCTTTCCTCTAACTTCCAGTCTTCCACAGGTCAGGGAGATGCTGCCAGAGCTGGAGATCAGATTCACATTTCAGTTTCAAATTCGGACAAGCACATTATTCCCACCACTTCCTCCACCTCTTCATTACAACCACCGGCTTCTCCGACCACACTCAGACGACACCCTGACAGGAGGGCGAGACCACAATCCACTTCTGGTGTCAGAAAGACCACAGTGACACCCCTAAATCAAACTGTACCCAGACTGTTTGGCTCCACTGTCCCCAGAGGTCAGCTGACCCCAGACCTCACCACGGGGGTGAGAACGGGGACCCTGTCGGTCCCCATGACCTGTGCTGACTCTCCCTGTTTCCCCGGTGTCCCCTGTGAGCCAACAGTCACTGGGTCCTTCAGGTGTGGACGCTGTCCCTATGGTTACGTCGGAGATGGAGTCACATGTAAAGGTAGGCTGATAATAGTGTATTTAGCTGAGTTATAGCTTCATCACAGTCTTTAGCAACATTGTTAGCATTACCTTAATGGAGAGGGCTGTGGGAAAAAGAGTGGAAAGTTTACAGCTAGCTAAATAACACAGACAAGGACAATGTTTTAATTATAATTTAGTTTGAAGAAAAAACCTCACAAAGTATTTGTCTTAAAACACAGTCTCAAAGCACAGTGCAAAAACTACAAAAACAGGCAAACATAAAGTTGAAATACACATAATCTAAAAGTTAGCTTTAAATTACCTCAAACTAGACTTGAGAACCAGAGAAAATCAATTGGAATTGCATTAAAAGTAGTTAATGTCAAATGAATGAAAAATTAAATTCCTTATTAATTATTGAATACACAGCACATGTTATTTTGCAAAAAATTGAGCAAAACACACTTACGGTTGGCTTAGCAGTTGCTACTACCAGTCTTCATTCAGTGAAATTATAGATCTAAAAGAAAATTTGTGTGTGTGTGTGTGTTTCAGCTGTGTGCAGGTATCAATGTGGCAGGAACATGGAGTGTTCTCTGCCCAACACCTGTACCTGTAAAGAAGGTTACACTGGATACAACTGTCATATCGGTGAGAAGATCAAGGACTGGAGAAAAGAAGTCAGCGTTTCCCCTTCATCCACTTTGACCATGTTTCTGCTTCTCTCTCAGCTGTGTGTCGTCCAGACTGCAAGAACCAGGGCAAGTGTGTGAGACCTGATGTGTGTGAGTGTCCTTCAGGCTACAGCGGCCCCACCTGTGAGACAGGTAACAACAGGTCACCTGACCTCAACACACACACACACATACATCACCTGATGAGAAGCAGTGTTTCATCCTTAACTCTTGGTCGTCGTCCTACAGCAAGCTGTGAGCCTCAGTGTCAACACGGAGGCACCTGTCTGTCCAGGAACCTGTGTACCTGCCCCTACGGCTACGTGGGGCCCAGATGTGAAATCAGTGAGTCATTTTTAAACCATTTTAGTTGAATTCAACAACGGTCACAGCAGTGTATACGAAGAGATGGAGTTACAGTATAAGAGCATTTTGGACTGCAAGGTTTGTGCCACACAAAAATGCAGCCTTTATTTGTGGCACGTCATATTTTCTTTTTTCTTTTTCTTTTTTTGTTTCTTTTTTTAATTTATATATATATATATGTATATATAGTATATTGTAATATATATATATATATATTTGTATAAATCACATTCTTATGTATGTGTTCACAAACTATGAAAAGTAAAAACGGATATACAGTTGTGTAAATTTCGGAAAAACATGTACTAAGAAGTATTTAGTATTTTTCCTTTGCTTCATTACATATTTCATCTAATCTACAATTTTATGTTTTTATTGCAACGCTAATTTAAAAATATAAAATGGGTTAAAACTAACAATAAGGATGTCCTATAATACCAGTTGACCGATATTACCATCAGTATGTAATATTGGTAAACATTGTTACTAGTTTTTCCTCCGATATGAAAACCCGTTAATGCAGTGCCTGGCTTTGGCCCAGATGACGTGACCTAAAAATAATTTTGAAGTGAAAATGAAAGTGAATTATTGTCCTGCTGACACCACTGCTCACAATGAAATCTGCTGACACCACTGCTCACAATGAAATGTGTCCTCAGCCTTTAACCAAAACAGCTGCATATATCAGTAACAGGGAATCTCTTGATTGACTTTTAGGAATCAGTCATTTTAGAAACATTAGGTGTTTTTTCTGACTGACACTTGGAAAAAGATGGAACTACCATGTTAAATAATTTTTTTAATTATTCTTTATATATAAATGAATAAATAATGAATGGATTTCCAAATTTTCCTGATGATGTGTCTCTGTCAGTGGTTTGTAACAGACACTGTGAAAATGGAGGAGAGTGCATTTCACCTGATGTCTGCAGATGTAAACCAGGCTGGAATGGACCAACGTGCAACTCAGGTACAACTTGGATTAAACTTTGGTTAAAAAAAATAGCATAATGTAATTTCATATTTATCAAAACATTTCCTGAAAACTCTGCAGTCTAAGTCTAAGTGTCGTTCCTTGTATATTCTCCAGCTCTCTGTAACCCTGTCTGTCTGAACGGAGGAACCTGCATCAAACCCAACATCTGTGCTTGTCCCAGTGGTTTTTATGGCTCCCAGTGTCAAATTGGTAAATGACTTTATAGTATACAATATATACAATATATACTAGGTTCTAGTTTTTCTAACTTCAACTGTCAATTTATAAAATATTACTTGCTTATGTTTTGGTAGTTCTCGTGCATTATACCTATATCATTTTTAGGGGACACTGAAATATTTTTAAGCTCGACTGTACTTATTTATTGTTGTTTTCTTTTTGTTCTTATTCTGGTCCAGTTATGTATAAAACACTTTTGCTAAAGTTTTTACTTAAATGAGTTCATTGTATCACCTGTAACTTTTCATGATTATTTTTGGCTAATTTAGTGTGGTTTGATTGCCTTATTTACATTGCACTATAATTTATTTCTACTTTTTTAACTTCAATGGTAGTTATGGTGTCTAATGCAACACTGCACTTATACTGCCCTCTGCTGGATCACTGGGTAATTACAACAACGTGTGCTCCTGTCCTGAAGGATACACTGGAAAGAGGTGTCAGAAAAGTAGGTTCTTTTTTTAATTTAAATTTGCTTTGTGTTGATAAGAAAGGAAAAATAATGACAGAATGTGTTTCAGGTGTGTGTGAGCCTATGTGTATGAATAAGGGAAAGTGTGTCGGTCCAAACACATGTTCCTGTGCCTCAGGATGGAGAGGAAGCAGGTGTAACATCCGTGAGTTCCTTCATCTTTGCTTACAATTTCAAACACATTGTTTGTGGTACAGCAGGTTCACTTTAATTGGATGATATATTCCTGCAGTAATTGAAACATTTAATTATAGTACTTGTGTTTTTTTATTTACTTTTGGGCCACAGTCACCATTTTTAACACCGTTTATTGCATACTTTAAACTGCTTTAAACATGTAACTGCCCCTTTTTAATTGTAAGTCAACTTTTCTTTATTCCTGACTGCAGCGGTGTGTTTACAAAAGTGTAAGAATGGTGGCGAGTGTGTAGGACCCAACACCTGACATATTTGCTCTCCTGTGTCTGACGTATTAGCACAAAGTTCTCATTGTACTCAAGTCTGTCTGTTAGTACAGATTTTATAACAACCTGGAATCACAAGTGTAATTTCTCCCATGTTCAGCCATCTGTACGCAGCGATGCTTGAACGGAGGAAGGTGTGTGTTGCCTGACTATTGTCACTGTCGGCGAGGATTCAAAGGCCTAAACTGCTCAATAAAGGTACTGGTGTGTAAAACTACACATAGACACACACGCACGCAAACCACTTTTACATGCAGGTTTTATTATAAAATAGAACCATCATTTTTGGGTGTTTGCTGTTTAGCTAGCAATGCTTGATAGCTATGTATGCTATTTAAAGTAAATGATTTGCTAACCTAGTAACTAGGAATGTTATTAACAACAGTTTTGGTTATTTGTCTGGTTACATGGCCAAATTAATTTATTCTTAGGAAAACAGTTTGCCAGTCTAGTGGTCAAATGTGGTAGTCTAAATTTGGCATGACTTGAAATTAGTACCATTTGAGGTGTAAACTATTTTTATAAAACAAAAGAAGCCACATGATCACTTTGCTCGTTCTAAAACACAATGTTTTGCGCTGTTAAATATGTAAAATTAAGAAGTTGATAATGATATTTTATTAACCTCACAGGCTTCACAGGCATGATGAGAAGAAAGAGAAACCACAAACTGCACAATGACGAGAGGACATGTTGTATGGATGAGTGAGTGTGTGTGTGTGTGTGTGTGTGTGGCTCCATGCACATTTAAACAGAGGGACTTGATGTATTGCACTTGTCTATTTGGGCCCTGTATTTCACTACCTCAAAGCAGAAGGAAACACATCTGTTAGAGTCTTTATATTCAGATGTTTCTTGTGTTGTATGAAGATGTTTGTTTCGACTCAATGTTATCTCTGATTTTTCTTTTTTTTTTTTTTTATTTTTTTCCAGTTCCTTCAAATCTTTTTTTTCCCTAAAAAATTTGACACGGTT